TATAATACCCTAACAAAAAATATTTGATAAGAAAATAATAAAGCTTCAAGAGCTCACTATATTTGCATTCTCAATCACTTTTACCTAGGAAAGTACTTCTCATACAGAGAGATGTAGACCTCTGTTGTTGTCTCCTTTAAACTAAATTATCTCTAAAAAAGGAAACAAATAAACACCATACAGGGCAATCTGCATTAGCATTGCCTCCCTGAATAAAAGGGGTTGTAAGGGCAAAAAAACCCAACTCATAGCACTGAATAGCTATGGACTAATTAGGAGATAATACAATTTGCTGAGAGCAAAAATTCACTTAACTCTGGAATGAATGTGAAAGGATGTACCCACAACCAAAACAGTCCCATGTGAATTACACTTAAGATTTGGGGAAATTATTTGATAGCACAAATAATATGCTATCATTATTTGGTTAGGTCCAGACAAGACAGCATTTACTTTGTTACTTCATTCTGCTCTGTTTTTCACATATTTCCTGTATGACACCAATATAAACCAGGTATCTCAAATTCCACCTAAGGGATAGTTCTCCATGGAAATACTTAGTAGTGATCAGGGTTATGAGATTAACAGTAGAAAACAGAATTGTCCAAAGACAAGCAACAGAAATACACAGAATATGGTCACAATGGAAATATGAATATTCTCTTATCATCTCCTATTTTTTCACGGCAGCCTTGAGATTCAAGACGGATGCAATGTTAAGTAAGTATGAGGTGGGCAACTTATCTGTCTCAACTGGATTAATTTCAGTCATACACTCCAGTCATTATCTTTGTCCTTCCAGTTACATCAGCCTTCTCTGTCCTCACCACCAACTATAGCCTTTAGACATGAAATATATCCCCGCAAACTCCAAATCCAAAACACTCAGACCCATTAAAGGTTTCCCCTTTTCTTCTATTAAGAACAAAGAACACATTACATTTTTCTATGTGAAGTATGCTATTAAATAATAGCTTGTACACTAATTAAAGCAAATGTAATTGTGAGAACACACTGACATTGTTAAAGTAAATTACCCAATTCGTTAATAGTTTCATTTCAAGTGACCTTAATTGTATTAATTGTGATATTGAGCAAATTAAATTGAAGAGTATTAAATGCATTGTTCAAGTCTGTCCTTAGAGGATCAACTTTCTCATTACATCAATGAAATGGGAATACTACCTACTATGCTCTTCAAAACTTGTGTCAGAATGTGGTGAACACTATAACTTAAGAGTAAAAATTTACAGCGGCTCAGAAACAGTTAACCTAGTTATCACATTTCAATGTAATATAAGCCTCAAGCATTTGGCAATGACCAAACCAGTTTGTCAGATGCAATACACAGGGAGAAGTACAAGAATAAAGTTTCTGAAATTTCAAAAATTTAGGGCTTATAAAGTCTCTGCTGGAGACAAAGAGAGCTAAGATTCATCAGTTTCTCTGAGGTCGATCTCTGTTTCAAAAGGGAACATTCAAAAATATTGTTAGAATAAATAATACCATGAGGATTCTTAGAACAGAAAATGCAGCAAGATGTCATCAACTTACTATAGTCAAAAAGGAAACATAATAATGCACATATACATACATGAATGCAAATTAAAATACAACCAGATCCACAAGAAACAATCCAAAATTAAATTTCATAAAAGAACTAAAATCTCCCATTTGAAATATCAGATTGCAAAAGTGAGAATCCCTGACACCAATTTCTTATCTATTTCTTAACTATTTAAAAATGGTATTTAAGAAAGCATATATAAGTGTATATGCAATGTAAATATTTTGTATCTTGAAAATAAATCATGACACAAAGAAAGTAACAGGACAACTAATAGGCCAAATCAATCAACAGAAAAGGACTAAAATACTATCTTAACTGTTTTTCTGGAATATTTTAAAGGGATAGAAAAAAGATCTCTACAGTTAATGGTTTATCCTGAATTTTTTAAACTTGTAAACAAGCACATTCTCATGACTCATCATAACTCAAGATTCAAAGTTCATCAGTTACACAAAATCTGGAGAGCTACAAACGCCCAGATCTTTCTCCAAATGACACTTACCTCATCTGTAATGATCTACTTTCATTTGTTCAGCTAGGTAACTGGCTCCTGCCTAACATCCGCAACATTAATCTTTGCAGCTGTTCCTAGTGAACCATGTCTTATTCTTCTCAGGCCACTTCTTCAAAATCTCAAGAATACTTTGAATTTTATGTGCTCTCCATTGTGCTAACAGTTCTGTTCCAAAAACCCCCATGTTTTCTCCCTATCCCTTCACCGAGATTTTAATAAAAGCACTGAGTATTACTAGACTCAACCAACATATTTCTGGAATACCACACAATATATCCTTTCAAGCTGACAGCAAATGAACAAAAAGTAGCTTATGCAAGCAGTTTTCCAAACAGCTACACATAAGGGCAATCCATGTATTTCTGAGATTTCTTTCATTTTATGAAAACTGTGAGAGAATTTCAGAACTCCAGTTGGACATGACATCTCCTGGTTTTCCATCAAGTTTTGGTATCAGTTGCACATACTAAAAATACAATACTCCATGAAGATTAACAAATCTGACTAGCTCAGTAATTAAATACTTATTTTCAGCACCACTATCAGTGCTATGGTTTTTTCTAATCACCTCATCTCAGTGAAAGCTTCTATTGCTTTGCCTCCAAGATAATATTTAAGCATCTAGCACGGCTTCAAAAAACCAATTCGGATGTCCTGATATTCCACAATATTGCACAGAACATCTCTGATAGACCACATCTCCACCATATTTCTGTGATACATGATACAAAAGACTTATATACAGATTTACACCAAGTTGATTCTGTATCATGCCTGAAACTTGAGGTTGCATTGAAAAACCTTGTCTTGAAATACTTTTGTGAAGACAATGGACAGACTGCACAGACAGGAACGACTGTATACTTTGATGCCTAAAGACCTAACACCAACTAAGCATATGCTTTACTTAAAATGAAACATTAAAACTTCAAAGACTTATTCTGGATATATAAAGTTTCAAATTAAAATGCACTATGTGTTTCACAGCAAAAAAGCCTATGAAGATGAAATGGATGCTTTATATAAAATATTTACATAGATAGAACATAAAAAATGTACCATAGTTGGTAACCTTTATGACTTGGGGAACCATGTATTTACATATCTTTATCTTTGCATGTGCGTATGTGTGTGTTGTGTATATATTTTTAACAGTTGACAGCTGTTTTAGAGCATACAGAGATGCCAAGCTGAATGAGGGTCTTGATTACTTCAAGATTAGCTATCTAAAGTTTCTATTCATTTTAAGTGTTGTTAGTGCGAAGAGTCATTAGTCACTTCCTTGTCTCATAGAACATCAGCATACATTTACATTGTTAATGAACATTTGGGGTAAATGAATTAATGGCACTTTTAAACATCAATTCAATCCTAATAACTTTGTATGTCATAGAAATGTTAAGGTTGGGATAAAAATGAGAAACCTTTTCAGTCAAGGTAACTAATTGCTTCTGGGCACAATAAAGGGTAAAATTAATTTACAGTGGTTTTTTAACAGGGTGAAAATCTTGTTTTTTCTTGAAACAGAGTTGAGAGAATTACCAATATTTTTTTTTAAGGAAAATAGAAATCAGGAGAAAACGTTTATCTTTTTCTTGACTGGGGTAGACTAGAAGCAAGCTGGTTTTCCAGCTTATTATTTTAGGTTATTGCAAAAGATTATTTTCAAGTTTCTAAAAATATGTACAAAAATACATTTAGTTTATCAGACTAAAATGGCTCCATATCATTAAGATGTCAAATATAATAGAAAAGAAACACTGACCTAGAAAAGCTATTTCATTTAATCATCAAGTTTTGAAATACTTTCCCCTAGATGTTCATTCTCATTTTCTAACATTGAAAAAAGCTTTATAAACCAATGAAGAAATAGTGAAAAGATTAACTCAAAAGGACGATGAAGTTTTACCAGCATATTTTAAAGCAAAACATCAGCTTCTTCTAAACTGATGTAATAAACTTGACTGAGCAAAACTTGACATAGCTTTTTAATAAGCACTAGTAAACAGAAGATTTATAGGCAGATACACCCACACAGAGCAGTTCATCTGGGTGAGGGACTTAGAAAATGTGACAAAGTTGTTTCAACTCTGTAATTTAAAATAAATTTTTTATTTTGCCCTTCTGATACATGTGTTCAATGACTGGAAAATTACAGGTAGTTAAGGTGCCACTGTGTATAACTGAGTACTTGAGGAATGTTTTCATGACAAGGACGAGCTTTCTCATTAAGCTTATCACTTTCTTCGAACCAACTATACTGTCACTACTAGCAAATAAGTAGAAAAGACGAGCAACACAGACATGCATTGCATTATCTGAGCAGTTCGTTCTCCAGTTTGTTCATTATTGTCTCCCAAATACTGCATTTAATTAATTTCCTCTAGGTTACATCGTAACTTCTACCTTTAGAGGTAGAAGTTTCATTCTCAATTTTGAGGTATTTTTTCAAATAAGAATATAGGTGCTGAGTCAAACAAAAAAATCAGGCTTTTTATTTGCTTAATCTCATCCAAAATAGCATACTGAATTTTACTGCAGAATTAAAAAAAAAAGGAAACCAAAAGATATCCCTAAAACCAAAGCAGTGTAAGAGCCCATGCTTGAGAAAGTAACATAAAGCCATGCTGCATTTCAATATTCTTATGCTGAAGCCAGTGTTTGGTTTATGATTAAAAAAGGATGACAGCGCATTAAACATTTGGCTAATGTTTCTGTCTGTAATTGAAAGTTGACTTTCTGTGGTTTTCATTAGTGTCAGAGTGTTCTACGCATACTCTGTGAAATGTTCTTTAAGTTGCCCTGCTCAACTCTGTTGAGAGAATTAAACAAATTATGACAGGTACAGTTATCATGACATACTTATATAAGGTTTCTAGGTATAAAGTCCAAAAAAGTAGAAAATACAAAACTCACCTTCCCCTGGCTTGTTCAAAAAACTCTGCAAGGGATCAATGCCTATCTCCTGTTCCTCTGTTTGCAAAGGGTGACTGGTTTCAGATGCAGAATGATACATATTGGCAATAGTAAACTCTAACTGAAGGGTATTTATCTGGAGGAAAAAAAAAAACAGAGAAACAAACACTTCAGTATTTCTTTAGCTATTTTTCAATCACAAAGGTGAAGAGAAAAAATGCTTAAAACCTTTCCTTATTTTCCAGGCATATCATCATCATCAGTTGTTTAACAGAAAAACAAGTGTTTCCACTCAAATATTTTATTACTTGGAGTCTAAAAAAATTGTTACAGTACTTCTCACTATCACACTGCAAGTAAAAGTCCAAGTGTGGTCTTGGCAGACTGTAAAGCAGGGCAAGAGCCTCTTTCCTTCCTTTTTTTAGCTTCCCCAATGCATCTTTTTATCTGATTCCAAGGAGAACTGATGCTAGTTCTTGGGCATGATGAAGATTACAGAGTAAAACTGAGGTAAGACCTGTCATCATCACTCTTCTGGACTCAAGACCTCTAATTCCAGGAAAACTTCCTTTTAACCACTTACTTTTTCAGGAATCATGAGTCAAGTATAAGGTAACAGAGACAGGCACACAGAAAGAGAGCATGGGATAATACTGACTGGCATGATAGGTGATAGTTTTATTAAGATTTATAGTAGCTTTTTAGAAAGACATTGTTAAGGAAGCATTTGAAGAAGCAAAATCAACTAGCTGATGAATATTTACAAATATGCTATTTCAAAAATGAAGGCCAAAAGGGGAGAAAGGACAAAACTGAAACCTGAGGAAGTAGGTGATGAGGATTGTGACAGGTTCCCGAATGGCAGTCACATCACTACCAAGCAACTGAACAAGAACTATGTTAGAAGTTCACGTGAGGAGTGTTAGAAGCTAATATTGGCTGCAGCTAATAAGAGGATGCCAATAAAAAGTTGAAAAGCAGATGATGTTATGATCAGAGCAGTAAGAAGGAGGAACAACCTTTCCATTGCATTAACAGTGCAAGAGTACGTTTGTCAAAACTGCATTTTAGACACTGTACAGCAATTTATTAACTTCCAACACAAAAAAACTAAGCCAGCTAAATAGGTTTGATTTGCCCAATCACACTAAATACCTATGACTGCCAGATGAGTTTTAAATATCACTTACTGTAACTGCTTTGTTTACAAGTATCACAACTTTCTAAAACCAAAAAAATTATATTTAGAAAGAAATATAAAAAGAGAAACACAAAAAAGTATGCGCCTATACTTTCAGGACTGGTATATTACCAAATCTGAAATCACTTCAATTTTGCTTTTCGTTTGGTTCTTACAAGGCATCGGCATTGACCATATTTGCTTTATACCTTTGGTTTGCTGTGAATAAATGAAGGGGGACTTGGATTCTCAAGACCTTTTTAGTTTTATATACTCTTCACCTTTTTAATTTTTCTAGAAAGTTATGTGGGGAAAAAAAAAAGTAACCAAAAAACCATAAATAATAAACAAACCTAGTTGGGCCTCTCTTGGGAATTTCCTTCAAACCAATGCACCCAGGCTGTTTTCAAAAGGATGTTCTCTTAGCTGTATTCTCCAAGGGTTTTGTCCTTTATTTGCCCTGGCAACTGTGTTACTGTGGTGTTGAAATGATTGCACCATCATCCCTCAATTCTTTTTAGCTAGAGGAGAACATCTAAAGGTCTTGGGAACTAGCAGCCAGGAACTGAGGGAAGGTAAGACTTGCCACTTTTGCAGTGGTATATGTCAAATATATGTCAAATAATATATGTCAAATTATTACAATCATAAAATCATATGATAAAACAGACCATTAAAACACAGAATTGCTTGACAAAATGTGTTATGAATGCATGTACATATCATGTGTTTCTTATGTAATTTATAAACTATAATAATGAAAAATGCATGAATGGTATCTTGAAGAAAGACATTTATAAACTCACTAGCCCCTTAAACAACATTTCAATGTTTACCTGCAGTCTTATTGCTACAAAATGTAGAGATGTTTATAAATACCTGATATCTAAATAAATAAATTAAGAACTTGAAACAATTTATTAAAAAAAACAAAACAAAAAACCAAAAAACCAAACAAAACCAACCAACCTAAAACCCACAAAAACCCCCAACTTTGCAGAAATAATTTTCTCCTGCTGGAATTTTAGTTGCTCCTCTTGTTCCTTTTGCTATACCACTGTAAATATCTTTCTACTGATGTGTTGATTTTGTCTTCACAAAGATGGCAAGCTCATTTTGAAGTGTGCTGCCTGAGTTTAACTTTTTATTTTTATGCCCCTTCAGACATTGCTACATGATCTGACCAAAGCACAACCCCGAGTGCCTTTGAAACTGAGAACCAGGCACAAAATGCCTTATGAGCCACTGTAGTTTTAGCAACCACCACTTAGTTAGGATACAATACGCTGCAGACTTACACTGTCTTACATCTGTAATACAGTATCAAATTAGCCCTAGTAAGTTTGCTCTTCTATATTCTTCTCTTCTGTATCCACCTTCTCTTTTTTTAAATACTCCCCAAATGCCATACCTTTACAGCCTATAAGAACCGTAATTTACTTTACAAACAGTTAGAGCAGTTTTAAAGAGCTAAATAGATTTACTTTTGATATTCATAGTGATTTAATCAGTTACTTGTGTTTGTTTACAGATACATATGATTAGTGTTAAAAAAAAATATCACTACCTATTAGTCTTGTCACTCCTTAGCCCAAGCAATTTTCTTTACAGTTTTATACTTAAGTTCTTTTCTGCTCTTCTAACAAAGAGCAAAGAGAACTATTAAACAATTACGATTACACTTGAGATCTTACTCTCAGACAGATTAATTCTTTACAGGTTTGTGGTTCATTTGTAATGGCCTATAACATATTGTTCATATTAAATAAGATGCAATTTAAAACTATTCTCAATGTGAAACAATAAAAATGTTACAAAAATCTGAAATTCAATTACTGGATTACAAGAGTTGATACTGACTAAACCTAACATCTCAGTGAAAGCTCAAAGTGACTTTTTTAGCTATTCCTACTTTTTTTTTTTTTACCTCCAAAGACAAAGGGCTAAAAAACTTAAACATCAGGTACCCTTCCCACCACTGGGAGTTCAACTATTCTTTAATATACATGAAAAAGTAATTTAGGCTATGTATGAAACATTTATCTAGTTAGGGAAATTAGAAGAAATGCTAATCTACCCATGAGCCCAAGGGAAAGGCAGGCATATAAACTCTTTGTCTGGGTACCGTCCTTAAGTAGCAGGGGGAGCTCTCGTGCTCCACCAAGGAGAGCACTGCAGGTCTGCTCCTCTCTCACCAACACTCATGGAGTGAATTCAGTCTGCCTTTCAGTAAAGGCAGCTTGCCAGTATGTCTGTTCTCAAGGGAGACCAAAAAATCCCTTGAAAGATACGCTTATGGACTCCAACACAGAACTCCACCAAAAGGGTTCTGTGGAGATACCTTCTTATAGCACATCATCCCCTCTCCCCATGACCTCCTCCATATTCGATAGGTGATAGAATACCAACACGTTTCCATTAGGAAAAACTTAATGATGTTTACTGACATCTATCTTACTAATAACCTCTTTCTACACAGCAGAGAAAAACTACTTGTTGCGTTAGACAGTCTGATTTAACATATCCATTCTAACTCAGAGAACTTTAGTTGTTCTCTCTTAGTACTTGGCTTGGAAGTTGACTGCTTCTTTTTTAAACATGAGGTTTGTTCACCCAAGAGTTCACAAATATTTTGCCTCCCCTACTAGCTGCTCTAACTCATTATATGATTTCTACCACCTCTAGCCATAAATCAGTCTTTCTTACACAGTCATGCCTTCATCAGCATTGCCATGTTTCCTGTATACAAACCTGTGAGTTTGAAGTGCTTAAAAAAATTACATTAAAAAAATTCAAAAAGAAAACCACTTCATCAGACTGTCAGTGTCAACAGCCTCAACTCAGCCATAGTTCATCTGCCATTAATACGTATAAGTCATATCTAGCTAGCTAGAAATACAAGACAAAGATAAAAGTCTACGTGAGATATGCTTCTGTCATTAACTGCACTGCCAATAAAGCACCAGTCACTTTTGGACCAGAGTTGGGCAAAACATGACAAAAACATGTGCACAAATGTAAAAGTATGCCACTATAACTCCTCATCATGGCTAGGCTTTGTGAACGAAGATTTGGGCTCTACCCACATTTGCTACAAGTGCGCTGGTGGCTAAAGAGGCCAATATAACTAGAACTATACAAAACAGCAGAGTAATCTGTAATAAGATTATAATAAATGTTTATGCAATAAACTGATTATAATGAATGTTTAGTAAGAAGATGAAAAGTTAAAAATAAAAACAAACTTGTAGAGTTCTTTTAGCAGTAAGACTATTCACTACCACACTACCGCAAGAATAAGTGGTAAGACTACCTTAATATCAAAAATTTTGATAAATAAACAAAACACAGAACAGTTGAACATGAATACTGTACCTTATTTCATGTCATAAGATATTTGTTAACCTCTTCACTTGCCACAGACACTGAATAAAAATATTCAGTATTCACAGGAGTAGTTTATGGATAAAAAGCATTATTTCAAAAATAGAGACTAAATTATTCAATTAAAAAAAATAAAAACACTGAACGTATTTCCCTTAATCACTGCTACATGGACTTTGAAAAATTATTTAATCAAAGCAGAAAACACACCAAAAAAATCAAAATTAATGTTTAAGAAGTGAAGAGTATTCATGTTGTTTGGACAAAATTAGAAAATATAAACAATTCTCACCAAGGGTATTTTGAAGATGTAACTGAGTAAGTGAAAAAGAATTAGGCAAAGCTTTTATAACATCCATTTTCCCTCTCTTCCTTTCCCCCAGCGGTAAAATGGAAAGAGAGTAATTGTAGGCTTGAGGAGGTACTCAGGATGAGGGCTGAAGAACTGCACAGGTTGCAGCACTTGCCCCACTCTTACTCTCTGACATCCTCTTACCTCCAAACAACCAAGCAAAAAAGCAAAACCTTTTATGCTTAAAGAAAGGAAAAAGAGAACCCACTAACTATGAGGA